CGTCCCTAGTACAAGCAGTGCCAAAACATTGATTTCTATAAACTTTGACCATTATTAAGTAATTATTTCTTATCCACTGTGGCGTACATTTTTTCCAGATTCTTCCCACATTACTACTGATACTAATAGTTCTATTTCCACAAAATGTATGTGCATCTCTGTGATGTCAGGATTAGATTCAATAAAAAGTGAATTACTTATTCTTTGATGAATTATTTGGGACCTGACATGCGTAAAGAAAAATGTTTGTTTCATTCCTTTTTTTATTAAACCTCCCAATGTTTGCTCATGGAATTATCTCTCTATAATACGTGGTGTCTCCTTATCTGATCAGGCCCTGAAACCACTGCATATTAATGTGACATCCGTTTGCATGGTCCTGGAGAGCTTCTAGCTTTGGTGCCATTGTGGCTTCTTCTAAGTGAGTATACTTCCCATTAGGAGACATTTGAAAAATATGTTTCTTTTCTTTATCTTCCTAAAGTAAGCATGCAAATGTTTTCTAGATGCTTTTAATTTAAACCTCATAAATATAGTAGGGCCATAATTTTGAGTTTGCCACCCTAGTGGCAAACTAGTTTGCTGTCCCTACTGACGGAAGGACTTGGGTATAATTTCAGCATTTCATCTCATAAAATCTTTCTAATTCGGGTTCCCAACCGACGGAATCCCTGGGAACATCAGAATTTGACTCTTTTGCTCTTCCCAAAGAGTCCTCAGTTTCCCTGCAAGCATTCAGGATAACAAAAGGACAAAAGACATTTGTAGCTCCATGCCACATTGTTCCTCTGCCCTCCTTTTCTCATTCTCATTTCTGTGTTTCTTTGATCTTTCTCTTACTCTTTAGGACTCTATCACTCTGTTAACCCTTTAACGTCCTGATCTAGAACCACTTGCCTCCTTTCAGAGTGCATATGGGCCTAACAATTTTCCTTACAGGCATTTCTCTAGGTCCTCATACAGCGTACGGTTTCAGTATCAATCTGACACCAGCATTTTTACTCCAGAGAGGGAAGAGCTGTGCGAACTCTGGGTAGATCCCTCTTTGGATTCCATGCGTGATCAAGTATCTCTATTTCCATCTGCCTCTGGCTTGCTGCAGGTCTGTTCAGTGTACTCTCTTCATCTGTTAGTCCCTCCTGGGGACTGTATGGTCACTCATATGAAAGCAAGTCTTCTCTTGTGCATGGCACCCTGAGAATTTTCTATGCATTGGGGATGGGGAGGGTAAGAAGAAAGAAAGGCAGGTGTTACCTGACTCCTCTTGGAGTTTCCTGCTATGTTGTTTTAAATGGAAAACCATTGTAAACTAAGAGGAAGTAAGCTTTTGAAAGGCAAGGGACTGTGATCACATTCATGCATTTGTCTGATTAGGACAAAGTCATATAGTGTTAACTCAAACTCTTATAGTGGGTAGTGAGAACTGTGCCCCGAGTCAGGAAGATGAGTTTAAATGTGGCCTCAGATACTCACTGAGCTCAAGTCACAAAACCTGTTTGCCTTAATTTCCTCAGCCATAAAATGAGGATAATGATGATGATGATGATGATGATAACCCCACCTTGTAAGGTTGTTGTGAGAATCAAATGAGATTTTGCAAAGTGCTTAGCATATTCCCTGACACTATATAAATGTTTATACACTACCTCCCCTTATAGTGTTTTATACTTTACAAAATACTTTATTTATAATAACGCTTTGAACTAGATGGAACAAGTATTATTACTTTCTGCCCCATTTTGCACAGAAGTGATATGAGGCTCATAAAGTTCACAGTCCTGGGAATTGGTAGACTTATAACTTTTTTTTAAAACCATGACTTCCTTGGGAGGTGGGGGAAAAGTGTTTTCTCTCTTTGTTGCTTCTCCTCAGCCCTCACTTCATGCTGTATAAGCAAAAGTTGGATTCATTGATAATTTCTTTGAAACCATTCTTTTTTAAAAAATGGCCAAAACTATGTATTTTGAAACAAAACTTAAATAATTATGTGGGGTGGGGGTCATAAAGGTGTTAAGAGGGAGATCCTTCAGCTTGTATATGCTGCCATCTATCTATTCCTTGAGCAAAAATTTATTCTTGGCTAAATTCTGATTGGCTATTTAGGACAACCAGACTGAAGGCTTGTAGAAGTCATAAAATGGTTCTAAATCTTTCAATTAAATTAAAATTAATTTCTCATTCAGCCCATGTTATGGGTCTAACACTGTTCTAGGGTTTCATTTGACTTTGCATATGGGAGGGTGTGGCTGATTTCTGTTGGATACCAAGAAATGCCCTTCCCATCCTGGCCCCACCTTCTCCTCTTCCCTCCTTAATAAGCAAAATTACCAACTCTACTCTAGTACTACTTTTTATAGGCTTGTAGTCATGTATCCCTTTCATAATGAGTCCAGCTCCTTCTGAGCAGGAGAAAGACTTATTCAATCTCATGGAGTGCTGAAGTCCAATGCTTGGGGATTTCTTTGACAAAAACAAACAAATCAAAAATCCAAGAAGTGGCCACCACCAAATCCATTATGAAGCTGCTAAAAAAAAAATATAGAAGTGTTTGTACAACCTCTGAAGTGTCCTTATCAATCCTGACCAAGCCCATTCAGTCTTTTTCCTGTAACACAGAATCCTTGTACCATTTGCTAACTAACACCAAAGAAAGTCATTCTATTCAATCTGTTTCCTATAGCATGTTGCAACATATTTATTTGAGTCATTAGTGGGGGGTGGGGTGGGGAGAGGAGAAAAATTTGCTAGTTTTTTATTCAGGGAATGTTTCCACTGAATGTGTTTGAGTTTCTTTCCCTGAATGTCTGTCTTGTGAAGTCATTTGGCTTAGGGCTTCCGTAGGTCACGGGGTGCATATAGTAAAACTATGAGAGAGCAGATAAAGCCAGTTCAAACACTTCTGGCTCTGTGTTGCATTAAACAAAGGAACAGGGCGATACTGTATTTTTGAAGAATGGAGGACTATTAGATATTCTCAGCTTTGAAAAATGCCTGTTTGCAGCCAGGGGAAAAGGCTTTGGTGCATCAGGTACAAATGAATTATGATTTAAAGTGCTGACATTCAAATACAGAAAAAGCCTCCAAATTCTCACTCTTATTTTTTGTAAACACTAAAGAGCAGTAGGTCAGTGCCAAGAAGGACAAACATACTGGGTACTAACTGGAGGTCTTCCAGTGTTTGCACTAAATTCCATTCCCCAGTGCCTGAGTCTCTTTCTAGGCTTAATGGCCTTGAATTGTCTGTTCCATGGCTGTGCTCAGATGAGTTGATGTAGAAAAGTTGACCCCTATTCCTTCTGTTGAGTCTTGACTGAAACGGGATCCACTGGGAGGTAGTGTATAAATTTGGATCACGATGAGTTGAGTCCTGACAGAAAACTTGGCCAGACTCAAAGCAAAGGCCTTCAGAACTGTGGGGAGAAGCCTCTTTTAATCCTCTGCATGGACTGAATCTTGACATGAAAAGGAACACGCCTTTCCCAAATGCTTTTCCAAAACATCGCCTGAGAGAAACACAACTTAAAAAAGAAGCTGACTTTTGGCTGGAATATATTAGGTGACATGTACTCATAACGCTTGTAATCAGAAACAGTTGTCATCTTAGTGAAATAAAAAAAAAAAAACTCAGGAGAGAATTGTGTTGCACATTGTCAAGAAACTTTTAAAGCTGCCTTCATCTCTAACAACAGGTAAACACTTATAATAGCCCATATGCTGAAGAGGCAAGAGCATGGTCTTAATTCTAAGTTCTGTAAACATCAATAAAACATATTAAAATAAAAAAAACAAAAATTCAGTTGTGTAATAAATTATAATGATAGGAAAAGCAAAGAGATGAAAAAATGCAATGAGTAAGGAAGTAGGAAAATCAAAAAGGACCCTTGAGCTTATTTAGGAATCAAGTTTATCCACATGCACTATGATTCTGTTACCAGCAGAAAGAAGTTTTCTGATGCAGCAGGAGAAGCCTAGAAGCTGAGGGATCTAAGAATCACTCTGATTGATTAGAAGAAAATGCTGTCACAATAGTGGGTTCATTCTCATTGGCCCAGTCAGAGTCTTAGGCCATATCTACACAATCTTAGAGGAAATGTGGTATAATGGGTAGAACAACAGGAATTAAAGACAAGAAAATCTAGGTCCTACTTTAGACTCTTACTAGCTATGACCCTTCTTGTGCTTCATCTGTAAAATGAGATAATCTAGCTCTAAATCTATGATTATATAATCTGAAGAAGGGGAATAATATTAGCATCTAATTTGCAAAGTTGTTATGAATATCAAATGAGATAATGACAACATAGATAAGATACTGGGCTTGAAGCAGGAAGACCTGGGTTGAAATACTACTCAGACATTTATTGGATGTGTGATCTTGGACAAATCACTTCACTGCCCTGTGCCTCAGTTTTCTTATCTGTAAAATGACTGAGTTAGAGTCAGTGACTCCTAAGCTCTCTCTTAGTTCTATATTTATGATCTTATTATAAAGTACTTTGCAAACCTTGTGTTGGATAAATCTGAGTTATTACTACTATTAGAATTTTTATTACATTTGTAGTTATCATCTGTAACCTGGTAGATTCTAAATGTCAGCCACTTTACCAACAGATCATTTGATTTCAAATTGAATTTACTGTGTGGTCACCCAATTCACCTGTTCATTCAATCTAAAAAGTATTTGTTGTAAAACACAGGATTTAAGTTTTATCATTTGCCTACCAGTAGAGTAATAGAGGCTGCAGACTTTTGTTGCATAAAGGACGGAGTCAGTGCCAGAGTTTAGGACAAGAGAAGCCCTCTTGCTTCCTGCTTTAAGAGACATGGTCCCAGACCCACTTCAGGAAGAAATTTAGGGATAAAGGGAATAGACTTCTCTAATACGTGCCTAATTTCCAACTTGCCTCCCTAGAGACTATCAGGAATTTCCCTTCCAGTTATATTGAAGGCTGAAGCTGGAAATCAGGGACATGTTGAGGAGCCAGCTTTCCCTTACATACCTGCCTTCCAAAGTCTGCTTTCTTCCCCAGAAGAGGATCTGGAACTGACTAAGTCTTCCCTAGAGTCAGAAACAAAGAAGGCCTCTCTTCACCCAGGCTCTCAAGCCAACTTCACCCCTCATGCAAACACAGAGTATTGTGAAAACTTCCTCTCCACCAATGAGGAGAGTCTTATGCAAATAGTCCAGGCTTAATTAAGTACTAGTGCCTAGCAGCGTGTCAAGTTTTGTGGTGGATACAAAAGTATAAAATATACCAGTGGCTCTCAATTTTTTTATAAACTCATGGAAAACATGAGCCACAGAAATTATGGCAACAGTGGTTTCCCAGGAATTAAGACCTCGAGATCCATTACTCAGTCTCAGGAATTTTTCTGCTTTTCTTTCTTTGTCCCCCTTACTCTCTTCTTTCTTTACTTTCCCAAGACTCACATCTGAGAAAGTGGCCTTGCATTTCCCAGGATAGAGGTGCTATTGTGATTTTCCTGGAGTCAAGCCAGAGATATCAGGCAACTAACTCCAAAGGGGACGGAGGATGGGGAATGTAGAAGTGTGAGGGAGAGGGAGGAGTTTAACAACAAATCCAGTGACACCAGAGGCATACTCCTTCAGTACTGCAATGCATAGGTCCTAGCCTCCAGCAAGCTGTATCTTTTGGGACACAGGGCATGTTTGTGGTAGAAATAGAGAGCTATAAAATACATACTGGTGTCTGTACTTTGTCATTAGAGATCCTCTTTGTATGTTACTGAACGATAGCTTACCTTTAATAGGTAGCTTACGTGCTGCAGCCACCATACCTTCTTTAGCTCTGCCCCACCTCCAGTATCTATTTCCTATTGTTCCTTCAAGGGTGTTTCATTGCTGAGCAAGGTCTATGAGATCTGTATAGTCTCTTAGTCTTGATACATGGCCAGTCCTGGCAGTGAGAACTGAAGTTATGAAGTTTATTCCTCTTTCCAGTTTCTATGTCCTGTTATAGTACAACTGAGAAAGTTAAAGGCTAATAGATTACTCACAATATAAAACAGCATATTATAAAGCCATAGTCCCATCTAATCCTATTATGGTAATGTAATGGTTAATGAAACTTTGTAATGCGTACAATCTTTCAGCTCTCTAAACTAATTTTGAGAAAAAGAAAATCTTTTCAATGTCTTTGTTTCAAAATATCATCAGAGATTATTTTGCTTTCAAGTGTGCACAGATTTTCATAGAATATTAAATGTACAATTTACACACTGGAGTTATTTCACCCAAATTGCTGCCGCTCTTTTTGGTTATATTATTACAGATTTAGTGGGCTGAAAATCATTGTACTGGGCTTATCTTAAATTTGTTCGAGTTAGCATTTTTTAAATGGGCCTTCTACCCTTAGACTAAACAATTTATTTGAAATGTTCCCAGTTTTTCTAGCCGTTTTTTTTCCTTTTAACTAGTTTTCCCTTAAAAGATGACATTCTTATTTTCAAAACAGGGAAAAATTGTTCAATAGAATTTTTTAAATGTCATTTAAGTCTTTACTCTCCACAGATTTTCATGAGGAAAATAAAAAGCACCTACTCTCTGTAGAGTGCCATAGTAAAAAAAAAAAAAAACAAACTGCAGGCATATAACAGAAATGGAAGACTCATTGGCTACCCTCCAGGTGTTTCTAGTCTTTTGAGGGCAGCAATATGTAAGTACAAGAAAGAACATGAAAACTATAATTGTAAGATGTTACCAAGGAGCACAAAAAATTGATAATGAATAAAAGAAAGGCCCTAGTATAAGAAGTCACTGACCCTTTCCTTATAGAATTCTTTATATCTCTCATCATCTTTAACCTTGATTCTTCTAACAACCATTAATTGGTCTCTCTGCTTCTAGTATCTCCCATTGCTAATATATCCTTTAAACAGCTGCCAGTCTGATATTCTGAAAATAAATGAAACAAATAATAAATGAAAATAAATTGTCATTTATTTTATTTTTTTCCAATTATATGTAAAGAAAATTTTTAAAATAAAATTCAGAGCTCCAAATTTTCTCCCTCTCCTACCTCTTCCCTAAGAGAGTAAGTAATTTGATATAATGAACTGAGTGATTTATGAAGTTTTTGTGCTCAAAATCTATGATCCTATGATCTCTTACATAAGGAAGGGTAAGATAAGTGCAAAAGGAAGGTCTTGGTAAAGTTCTGTGAGAGAGGGGTCACTTTTTCCTGGAGATGGAGAAAGCAGGGATATGCTACTAAATGCTTAACACCTTGTTGTCTGGGAAGAGTGGGGCAGGGAGGGGAATGTGCACATGACATAATTTTAAGTTTAATCTATATTATTAACATATTCTCCATCACTTTCCTAAGTATAGAAAATCAACAAAACAATAAAGCCCTGATTTGTAGCACATGTTGATTTCCAAGGTGCAAATGATAGAATTGAAAAATTAAACAATATATTCTCCAGAGCCTGTAAAAGCTGGCTTCAGTAAAACCACTGCAGTGAATTTGAGGGAGCTATGGCAGAGAAATGGCACTTGAACTGGGCCTTGAATGAAGAGACAGAACACCAGCCAAGATTATGGGCAGAGGAAGGGCACACCAAAATGAAAACATTAATTGGCCAAGTCAGAAAAACAGATCAACTCAGTCAAAAGCACAGAAAAGAGTACCCTTTATTATTACAGAAGCCAGTTCCAGTTAGCCACAATTGTTGCATGCTCCCCCGTACCCAGTGCTCTGTCTAATATGTCTTTTTCCTGGCAACAAAGATGTGGTGGAGAAAAAAAAGACTTTTTCTCACATTCACATGTTACTATCTTCATTCCAACTTCTTTATTTCTTATTTTACCTTTAAGCACTTCTATTTCAATGGGAAAAAAAAAATAATCCCTAGAGCCTGCTTCTTTGCATACTCCTTGTGAGTGATGAGAGCTTTTATGCTGTGGCTAAAATTCACTGTAAGAAATAGCTCTGAGCTGTAGGATAATTACTAATTATTATTCACAGCTTCATAAATACTGAAAGGTAAATATTTGGCTCTTGACATGAAGAGCACAAAACCCTCCTGAAAAGTTACACAGAATTGTTTTGTGCTAAGTAGTTAAAATAGATGATTTTGTTTTGATAGTACTTATTATTATGCAGATTTACAGTTAAACACCTCAAGTTCTTAATTAGTAACTCTCCCCTTATAAGAAAATTTAGCAGGCTAAAACATTCACATATTTCTTAAGCAAAAATCTATTTAACAATTTCAAATCAAATGGTAGTCTACCTTTTGAAAAAGACAGTATATCCCTGAATTATTTTGCTTTTCTTTCTTCCTTTTCTTTCTCAGTCTCAATTCTAGACAAGGATTTTAATTTAGCCTGGAGTGCCAGGGATTTATGATTGAGCATTGTGATTTCTATTAAAAATGAAGACAAAGAAGGCAAACCATCACTTTGAGAGCAATGATTAGTTTGTGAAGCAGCAGAATATGGGAAATTCAGTAGTCTAAAGAGGTATGTCAAATGGCTCTGTGTAGTAATCATATGACTGTTCTTTCCTCCATTGTAATGGGGCTCAATTTTCTTTGGCCTTCGTTGCTAGGAAACTCACACTTATAGAATCAAAAGTGGCCTTACTGTTATTGTTGGTGACTCCATGGACTCTAGAATGAACTAGGCATGTCTTACAGCCTTCATCGTTAACTGTTGATTAACTGAGGCATGTAGTGTTACTCATTTGCATTGGAGATACTCTTTAAAACTCAAGGGATGATTCAATTCAGTTGCAAATTCCTTCTAGGAAAATCCATTAACCTGTGTTTTGTTATCTACAAATTCTCGCTAAATATAGAGAAATATAAGTGGTAGCTATAGACATAGAGATATATTCAGAGAAAGAGATATAAACAAATGGATTAATTTTTCTTAATTTTCTACACTGCATTAGAATATACTCTCCCTTGGAAAGTTGACAGATATACAGAGAGTGAAATCATCAAAGTCACAAGGTATTCAGCCATGAATAATATTCTTTTGGTGTAGTCCTTTTTACTAATAATTCAAGAATGGAATTTCAATGTATACCAAAGCTTTTAAGCTTCTTCAATTCTATCAAACATGTTAAAGGAACCAAAATATATCATGTTGAGATTAACTATATTTAACAAGCAATTCCAGCTATTGGAAGGAGTTGGTGAATCTGCTATTGTATGGGCTACATAGAGCCATCTGTGTTTATATTATAGTTTGGATCATATATCTAGAGCTGAAAGGGATGCCAGAAACTAATATTATTATTAATTTACATGTATTAAGAATGTTAAAGTTTGCAAACAGTTTTACAAATATTATTTCATTTTATCCTTACAACCCCAGGAGTTAGATGCTATTAGTATCCTTATTTTCATAAAGATGAAGAAACTAAGGTACACAGAGGTTAAGTAATTGCCCCTGGTCACAGAGCTAGTAAGTGTCTGAGGCAGATTTTAAATTCAGGTCTTCCTGAATCCAGGACCTACAATCTATGCACTAAACCACCTAGGTATTAGGGATAATCCAAACACCTTTTTTTTTTTTTTGGGCCCAGGAAAGTTGTGACTTGTGACTTGTCTATAGTGACACAAGTAGTAAGCATTGGAGACATGACTGGAAATCAGTTCTTTTTATTCCAGAGTCAATTCTTTTTCCATTGCTTTTACACATGTTATATTTCCCCATTGGCAGCATGAAAACTGTCTAGAGTTCTAGATTTATAATAAAGAAGATATGGGTTCAATCTCACCTCTAATACTTAATAACTCTGTGATCATAAGCAAGTTATACAATCTCTTAAGACAAAAATAATTCTATGATGTACAAGTGCTGATATCCATTGTTAAAAGGAGTCCTGATATTAAGGAAATTGCAAGTCTATGAATTGGTGACATATTGGGACTTTTCCCCAATTATTCAGCAATATATTCCCTAGCTTCTACATTAGTGTTGTAAACTTAACAATAATAATATGGTTTCTATTTGGACTTGTGATTTTATTGTTACAAGAACAGTTAATAAAGAAAACCCCTTTATCAATGGAAATTAGACATCCT